GAGCAGAATCCCAGTATTACTGGCGCAGTTTGTGAGCAGAATCCCAGTATTACTGGCGCAGTTTGTGAGCAGAATCCCAGTATTACTGGCGCTGTTGGCGCGCAGAATCCCAGCATTGCTGGAGCAGTTTGTGCGCAGAATCTCAGTATTAATTACTGGCGCAGTTTTTGCGCAGAATCTCAGTATTACTGGCGCAGTTTTTGCGCAGAATCTCAGTATTAATTACTGGCGCAGTTTGTGAGCAGAATCTCAGTATTAATTACTGGCGCAGTTTTTGCGCAGAATCCCAGTATTAATTACTGGCGCAGTTTTTGCGCAGAATCCCAGTATTAATTACTTGCGCAGTCTGTGCACAGTATCCCATATTAATTACTGGCGCAGTTTGTGCGCAGTATTTCAGTATTACTTGCGCAGTCTGAGCACAGTATCCCATATTAATTACTTGCGCAGTTTGTGCGCAGTATCCCATATTAATTACTGGCGCAGTTTGTGCGCAGTATCCCATATTATTTAATGACGCAGTTTGTGCGCAGTATCCCATATTAATTGCGCAGTCTGTGCACAGTATCCCATATTAATTGCGCAGTCTGTGCGCAGTATCCCATATTAATTACTGGCGCAGTTTGTGCGCAGTATCCAATATTAATTACTTGCGCAATTTGTGCACAGTATCCCATATTAATTACTTGCGCAGTTTGTGCGCAGTATCCCATATTAATTACTGGTGCAGTTTGTGCGCAGTATCCTATATTAATTACTGGCGCAGTTTGTGCGCAGTATCCCATATTAATTACTGGCGCAGTTTGTGCGCAGTATCCCATATTAATTACTGGCGCAGTTTGTGCGCAGTTTCCCATATTAATTACTGGCGCAGTTTGTGCGCAGTTTCCCATATTAATTACTGGCGCAGTTTGTGCGCAGTTTCCCATATTAATTACTGGCACAGTTTGTGTGCAGTATCCCATATTAATTACTGGCGCAGTTTGTGCACAGTTTCCCATATTAATTACTGGCGCAGTTTGTGCGCAGTATCCCATATTAATTACTGGCGCAGTTTGTGTGCAGTATCCCATATTAATTACTGGCGCAGTTTGTGTGCAGTATCCCATATTAATTACTGGCGCAGTTTGTGCGCAGTATCTCATATTAATTACTGGCGCAGTTTGTGCACAGTATCCCATATTAATTACTGGCGCAGTTTGTGTGCAGTATCCCATATTAATTACTGGCGCAGTCTGTGCGCAGTATCCCATATTAATTACTGGCGCAGTCTGTGCGCAGTATCCCATATTAATTACTGGCGCAGTCTGTGGGCAGTATCCCACATTAATTACTGGCGCAGTCTGTGCGCAGTATCCCATCTTAATTACTGCCCCAGTCTGTGGGCAGTATCCCACATTAATTACTGGCGCAGTCTGTGCGCAGTATCCCATATTAATTACTGGCGCAGTCTGTGGGCAGTATCCCACATTAATTACTGGCGCAGTCTGTGGGCAGTATCCCATATTAATTACTGGCGCAGTCTGTGCGCAGTATCCCATATTAATTACTGGCGCAGTTTGTGCGCAGTATCCCATATTAATTACTGGCGCAGTTTGTGCGCAGTATCCCATATTAATTACTGGCGCAGTTTGTGCGCAGTATCCCATATTAATTACTGGCGTAGTCTGTGCGCAGTATCCCATATTAATTACTGGCGCAGTCTGTGCGCAGTATACCATATTAATTACTGGCGCAGTCTGTGCGCAGTGTCCCATATTAATTACTGGAGCAGTTTGTGCGCAGTTTCCCATATTAATTACTGGCGCAGTCTGTGCGCAGTATCCCATATTAATTACTGGCGCAGTTTGTGCGCAGTATCCCATATTAATTGCTGGCGCAGTTTGTGCGCAGTATCCCATATTAATTACTGGCGCAGTTTGTGCGCAGTATCCCATATTAATTACTGGCGCAGTTTGTGCGCAGTATCCCATATTAATTACTGGCGCAGTTTGTGCGCAGTATCCCATATTAATTACTTGCGCAATTTGTGCGCAGTATCCCATATTAATTACTGGCGCAGTTTGTGCGCAGTATACCATATTAATTACTGGCGCAGTCTGTGCGCAGTTCCCATATTAATTACTGGGCAGTTTGTGCGCAGTTATCCCATATTAATTACTGGCGCAGTCTGTGCGCAGTATCCCATATTAATTACTGGCGCAGTTTGTGCGCAGTATCCCATATTAATTACTGGCGCAGTTTGTGCGCAGTATCCCATATTAATTACTGGCGCAGTTTGTGCGCAGTATCCCATATTATTACTGGGCAGTTTGTGCGCAGTATCCCATATTAATTACTGGCGCAGTTTGTGCACAGTATCCCATATTTATTACTGGCGCAGTTTGTGCGCAGTATCCCATATTAATTACTGGCGCAGTTTGTGCGCAGTATCCCATATTTATTACTGGCGCAGTTTGTGCGCAGTATCCCATATTAATTACTGGCGCAGTTTGTGCGCAGTATCGCATATTAATTACTGGCGCAGTTTTTGCGCAGTATCTCATATTAATTACTGGCGCAGTTTGTGCACAGTATCCCATATTAATTACTGGCGCAGTTTGTGCGCAGTATCCCATATTAATTACTGGCGCAGTTTGTGCGCAGTATCCCATATTAATTACTGGCGCAGTTTGTGCGCAGTATCCCATATTAATTACTGGAGCAGTTTGTGCGCAGTATCCCATATTAATTACTGGAGCAGTTTGTGTGCAGTATCCCATATTAATTACTGGCGCAGTTGTGTGCGCAGTATCCATATTAATTACTGGCGCAGTCTGTGCGCAGTATCCCATATTAATTACTGGCGCAGTTTGTGCGCAGTATCCCATATTAATTACTGGCGCAGTTTGTGCGCAGTATCCCATATTAATTACTGGCGCAGTTTGTGCGCAGTATCCCATATTAATTACTGGCGCAGTTTGTGCGCAGTATCCCATATTAATTACTGGCGCAGTTTGTGCGCAGTATCCCATATTAATTACTGGCGCAGTTTGTGCGCAGTATCCCATATTAATTACTGGCGCAGTTTGTGCGCAGTATCCCATATTAATTACTGGCGCAGTTTGTGCGCAGTATCCCATATTAATTACTGGCGCAGTTTGTGCGCAGTATCCCATATTAATTACTGGCGCAGTTTGTGCGCAGTATCCCATATTAATTACTGGCGCAGTTTGTGCGCAGTATCCCATATTAATTACTGGCGCAGTTTGTGCGCAGTATCCCATATTAATTACTGGCGCAGTTTGTGCGCAGTATCCCATATTATTACCCTTTGGAGACATTTGGCGCAGTTATTTTGCGCAGTAGATCCCATATTAATTACTGGCGCAGTTTGTGCGCAGTTTCCCATATTAATTACTGGCGCAGTTTGTGCGCAGTTTCCCATATTAATTACTGGCGCAGTTTGTGTGCAGTATCCCATATTAATTACTGGCGCAGTTTGTGCGCAGTTTCCCATATTAATTACTGGCGCAGTTTGTGCGCAGTATCCCATATTAATTACTGGCGCAGTTTGTGCGCAGTATCCCATATTAATTACTGGCGCAGTTTGTGCGCAGTATCCCATATTAATTACTGGCGCAGTTTGTGCGCAGTATCCCATATTAATTACTGGCGCAGTTTGTGTGCAGTATCCCATATTAATTACTGGCGCAGTTTGTGCGCAGTATCCCATATTAATTACTGGCGCAGTTTGTGTGCAGTATCCCATATTAATTACTGGCGCAGTTTGTGCGCAGTATCCCATATTAATTACTGGCGCAGTTTGTGCGCAGTATCCCATATTAATTACTGGCGCAGTTTGTGCGCAGTATCCCATATTAATTACTGGCGCAGTTTGTGCGCAGTATCCCATATTAATTACTGGCGCAGTTTGTGTGCAGTATCCCATATTAATTACTGGCGCAGTTTGTGCGCAGTATCCCATATTAATTACTGGCGCAGTTTGTGCGCAGTATCCCATATTAATTACTGGCGCAGTTTGTGTGCAGTATCCCATATTAATTACTGGCGCAGTTTGTGCGCAGTATCCCATATTAATTACTGGCGCAGTTTGTGCGCAGTATCCCATATTAATTACTGGCGCAGTTTGTGCGCAGTAACCCATATTAATTACTGGCGCAGTTTGTGCGCAGTATCCCATATTAATTACTGGCGCAGTTTGTGCGCAGTATCCCATATTAATTACTGGCGCAGTTTGTGCGCAGTATCCCATATTAATTACTGGCGCAGTTTGTGCGCAGTAACCCATATTAATTACTGGCGCAGTTTGCGCACATTAACAATTTTTTCCTTCCCATATTTTCAAGTGATTTTTTATGTTAGTTTTATGTAGTTGATTTTTTGCTGGATTGTGAGGAACTGTAGTAAATGTATTGAGTCATGGAGGGAGTGAAGCGTTAAACCCGTAGGGGTCATTCAGCGTATAAACAGGAAACATTCAGGTTTTATCCAAGGAACTGAAGCACAGCTCCAATTCCTTGGATCAAGAGCCCTCACCATCGTCAAGGAATTTGTTTTTATGGGAAGACTAAATGCATTGCTTCTTTATTATGATTAATCTCATTATTATTATTATTATTATTATTATTATTATTATTATTATTATTATTATTATTATGTTCAAAAAGAAGCATTATGGGTTATACAGCAAATGGGAGTTATCAGGTTTGATTCAAGGAAGGGCAGGGTAGTTGCAATTCCTTTCCTGTTTAACGAGTATTTTTATTATCAGGTGTAAACTAAACCCGTGCAAGTTATACAGCGTTTGTTTTAACCGAAGGTTATCATATCTGATCCAAGAAAGAGGATAGTTCCAGTTCCTTGGATCAAGAGCTCTCAGCCATCATCAAGCCACTCCCTTGAGTGGATTACTTTATCATTCTAAAAACGTTTAAGAATGTTTAGCCAAGAATAACTCAATAAAGTCATTAATGATTTATTTGCATTTTTTTTTTCAGCTCTACCAAAGATAATCATCAATTCCATCACAGTGGCGATCACCAGCACACCAAGTGGCACTCCAGTGTCAACAGTGGTTGGTGTACAAGGTGAAGAAGATGTGTCAGCAGTATCCTCACTAACTCTGGCGGTCATCACTCCTGACAGTGGTGATTTCACCAAACATTATATTGATGCACTTGATGTAACCGGGATAACTACGGAAAACATACGAATACCATTTGAAAATATAAAAGATAACGCTTTTCTCCCTAGTACAGTGACAATGATGGTGGCAGGACACGACGCCAGTGGTGCGTCTTCAGCGTTTGGTTATGTTGAAGTTACACTAAGTGGTGAGTCTTCCAAATTTTTGTAATGTATTCTACCCCCCCCCCCCCTCTCCCTGGCTTAGCAGTAGCGTTGTAGATGAGTAGAACAAACTTCCAAGTAGCGTTTGTAAAGCAAGAACCTTGAACAACTTTAAATATGGGTTGGACATGTACATGAGTGGGTGTGAGTTGAACTAGCCTAGCATGTGCCAATATTCCTACACTATTCTGTTCCTTCTTTTACACAAGGGTTTTTATAAGGATTGGTTATTAGTTCCTACCTTTATTTACAGACTTAAAGCTCTTACCTACCTCAGGTCATTTGAAATCCTTACCTAGCATTACATCGATTCTTATTTTTTATTTGTATGAATTATACCTGGAGAGAGTTCCGGGGTCAACGCCCCCGCGGCCCGGTCTGTGACCAGGCCTCCTGGTGGATCAGAGCTTAATCAACCAAGCTGTTACTGCTGGCTGCACGCAATCCAAAGTACGAGCCACAGCCCGACTGGTCAGGTACCGACTTTAGGTGCTTAAAGACATCCAGGGGTCTATTGGTAATCCCCCTTATGTATGCTGGGAGGCAGTTGAACAGTCTCGGGCCCCTGACACATATTGTATTCTCTCTTAACGTGCTAGTGACACCCCTGCTTTTCATTGGGGGGATGTTGCATCGTCTGCCAAGTCTTTCGCTTTCGTTGCGAGTGATTTTCGTGTGCAAGTTCGGTAGTAGTCCTCTAGGATTTTCCAGGTGTATATAATCGTGAATCTCTCCTGCCTGTTCAGGAACTTCAAGCGCTCCCAGTAATTGAGGTGTTTTATCTCCGTTATGCGCGCCGTGAAGGTTCTCTGTACATTTTTATAGGTCAGCAATTTCACCTGCCTTGAAAGGTACTGTTAGTGTACAGCAATATTCCAGCCTAGATAAAACAAGCGACATGAAGAGTGTCGTCATGGGCTTGGCATCCCTAGTTTTGAAGGTTCTCATTATCCATCCTGTCATTTTTCTAGCAGATGCGATTGATACAAGGTTATGGTCCTTGAAGGTGAGATTCTCCGACTTAATCACTCCCAGGTCTTTGACGGTGTTTTTTTCGCTCTATTTTGTGGCCGGAATTTGTTTTGTACTCTGATGAAGTTTTAATTGCCTCATGTTTACCATATCGGAGTAATTGAAATTTCTCATCGTTGAACTTCATATTGTTTTCTGCAGCCCACTGAAAGATTTGGTTGATGTCTGCCTGGAGCTTTGCAGTGTCTGCAATGGAAGACACTGTCATGCAGATTCGGGTGTCATCTGCAAAGGAAGACACGGTGCTGTGGCTGACATCCTTGTCTATGTCAGATATGAGGATAAGAAACAAGATTGGAGCGAGTACTGTGCCTTGTGGAACAGAACTTTTCACTGTAGCTGCCTCGGACTTTACTCTGTTGACTACTACTCTTTGTGTTCTGTTTGTGAGGAAATTATAGATCCATCTACCAACTTTTCCTGTTATTCCTTTAACACGCATTTTGTGCACTATTACGCCATGGTCACACTTGTCGAAGGCTTTTGCAAAGTCTATATATTACATCTGCATTCTTTTTGTCTTCTAGTGCATCCAGGACCTTGTCGTAGTGATCCAGTAGTTGAGACAGACAGGAGCGACCTGCTCTAAACCCATGTTGTCCTGGGTTGTGTAATTTTTTTTTTATATTTTATTTAAAACTCAGGTACAAAATATATGGGTACATAATCAATATGTAACAAGATACAGGCAGTGAACAATAATCAACTGTGTCTACACAAATACTGAAGAAGCACATATATAATGACATCACAACTGTTACAATATAAAAATTAAATACAGAGACATCAAGTATGAACAAAAGAGTCTCCTTACTATAAAACATAACACACAGGTCATCCTGTGGAAAGGTTTACATTCCAACTGTTGCAAATTACCCTTAAGCGATCCATGCCTGATTACAACATACTGAAATAAAGAAATACGATAATCTCTTCGCGTCCTAAAAAATTCACCCACCACAAAAAGATAGTCTACCGACCTGATTTTATAAATCTTATAACCCCTTTTTCTCTTCAAGACAATTGCAATATAATCTGATGACCTTCCCCATATCATATATGTGTAAGTACATATTTTACTGTACATAAAAACAAATAAAAAATAACATTCCCGAAAAATATACTCATAAGAGTATAATTACCTTACAATACCATGATAAATACCATCGAATCTGATGTCCTTCCTTAGATCATATATGTTTAAATACATATTTTACAATATATAAAAAATGACAAGATTACATACCGGAAAATAAAACTCAGAGTATAATTATCATCCTACATGGCTACCCACACCTGAGTTAATACTTTTCCTTTATGTAAAAAACCTTACAGACGTATACTACACATGTTCCTATAAAAAACCATTCAACCCAACTCTCGTGCATCACCTTTATTATCAAAAACAAGTTTCCCCTTTGAAAACCCGCCGTTGACCATTCCCAAACTCACTATCACACCAAATTGTCTTACTTTAAATAATGCCACTTACGGCTTATGTTACACATTACTAAATAATGTCAGTAAGGTCACAGGATCTAACAAAAACCAACATAGATATATAATAATTGTGTCACATGACACTGTGGCTGTCTTAAGTTGTTAATATACATATATACACAAACATATATGTGCAAAGATAAATATATATATATATATATATATATATATATATATATATATATATATATATATATATATATATTATATATATATATATGTCGTGCCGAATAGGCAGAACTTGCGATCTTGGCTTAAATAGCAACGCTCATCTTGCTATATAAGACAAGTGAAAATTTGTGTATGTAATAATTTCGCCAAAATCATTCTGAACCTAACGAAAAAAATATATATCACTGTGTTTGTTTAGTATTAAATTATTGTAAACAAATCTAAAATATATTTAGTTGGGTTAGGCTAAAATAAATTGTTCTTGTTATAATAAGGTTAGGTAAGTTTTCTAAGATTATTTTGGAGCAAAATTAAAATTTTTTACATTAACGTTAATGAAAAAAATATATCTTTAAACGTATAAGAGAAATTTTTAGAAAGGACTTAATTTTAAATGAGTTCTTGCTAATTGACCAGTTTTGCATATTCGGCACGACACATATATATATATATATATATATATATATATATATATATATATATATATATATATATATATATATATATATATATATATATATATTATATATATTATATATATATTTATCACACACCTTTTATCATGCTTAACACAATAATTGAAAAAAATTTTGGAACCATGTTTTTTGTCTTTGTATATACTGTAAAATACACAGAATATGAACAGTATGTAAAACCGACATGAGCTCAAAGTAGTTGGTGTAGCCAAACGCTCATAATACGTTGATTATCCCGTCTTTAGTGGTGCTGCTGCACACGACACTTTACCTTAATAATTCTTTGTTAAGCACAACACTGTAGTGTTGCACTACAGTTGCAACATACCTCGCAAAAACAACACCACGTCTGACATAGCCTTCCAAACCATACAAACACTCCAGATAACCTTACCCCATGCACTCACCCTCCAATACTTATATATCCCCGCTAAAAAGGAAAACGGTCCCTTAATCTATACTTAGTGTGGCACATTAATCAGTCCCTTTACTGTAATATTTCTGTATGAGTCCGGAAAACGCGTTCTCCACTGTTCCCCATAAATGAGTTTATTTCTACATACCGTACGATATATTCCTGCCGCAATCGCCCTAATTCTAATCCCCCACCTTTGTCCCTCAATCCCCAAGAAAAATACTAGAAATATGCCACTATGTACATAATAGCTCTTCTCACGTCTTCAGAGACCCCTCTTACTTCGAATGTTAGGGCTCTCAGAATCTCTACATTACCCCCGCCCATCAACCTGAAAACTCTTGCCAACCACAACCATACCTCCCCCAACTCTTTACAGAAATAAACTGCATGAAAAGCTGTTTCCGGTTCCTCACACCTTTCGCATGTCGCTTCCCTCACCAAACCCATTACACTCAAGGCAGACTTTGAAGTTAAATGGGTGGCGATCTTGCTTCTTAGGACCCTTTCAAAGATTTTTATGATATGGGATGTTAGTGCTATCGGTCTGCAGTTCTTTGCTGTTGCTTTACCGCCCCTTTTGTGGAGTGTGGCTATGTCTGTTGTTTTTAGTAACTGTGGGATGACCCCCGTGTCCATGCTCCCTCTCCATAGGATGGTAAAAGCACGTGATAGGGGCTTATTGCAGTTCTTGATGAACAGGGAGTTCCATGAGTCTGGCCCTGGGGCAGAGTGCATGGGCATGTCATTTATCGCCTGTTCGAAGTCATTTGGCGTCAGGATAACATCAGATAGGCTTGTGTTTACCAAATTCTGTGGCTCTCTCATAAAAATTTCATTTAGATCTTCGACACTCAGTCTGGTTAGCGGCTTGCTAAAAACTGAGTCATATTGGGACTTGAGTAGCTCACTCATTTCCTTGCTGTCATCAGTGTAGGACCCAACTTGTTTAAGTAGGGCCCAATACTGGATGTTGTTCTAGACTTTGATTTGGAATAAGAAAAGGAATACTTTGGGTTTCTTTCGATTTCATTTATGGCTTTTAGTTCTTCCAGCGATTCCTGACTCCTATAAGATTCCTTTAGCTTGAGTTCGATGTTTCCTATTTCTCTGACCAGTGTCTCCCTACGCATCTCAGATATATTGGCCTCTTTTAGCCGCAGTTATTCTTTCCGTCGCCTGTAAAGGGAGCGCCTGTCTCTTTCTATTTTACATATACTCCTCCTTTTTCTTAAAGGAATAAGCCTTGAACATACATCGAGTGCCACAGAATTAATCTGTTCTAGGCATAAGTTGGGGTCTGTGTTGCTTAGTCTATCTTCCCAGCTTATATCGTTTAGGACTTGGTTTACTTGGTCCCACTTTATGTTCTTGTTATTGAAGTTGAATT